GCCGTGAGAATTTTTGGCAACCATCACATTTATTGACCAAATCCTCTGCATCAGCATGAGGCATCAGCCAAGAAAATCCATGACGAAAAGGTTTGGCCACGAGAGATTTAGAGACGGCATGATGACCACAATCTCCTTCATGAATCTCGCGAAGAATTTCATGGCCTTCTTCAGGAGAAACGCAACGTTGAAACGCCCCAGAGACACTATGATGGTGCAACTCACCGTTAGCAATTGTCATTGACTTAGACCGCTGGGTTATTTGTCTGGCCAAAGTTTCATCCTCAGGCAACTCGCCCTGGGTCGTGTAAGCCAAATATGGAACTGTCCAATCAGGAATAGCGTGAAGAGCCGCCACCAATTGCGCTTCCGAGTCAGGAATAGCCAGATCTTCCTGTGTAGGCAACTTGACAGAAGGGTTATGCAAAACATCCAAGAAAGTGTTAGGTGGCACCGGTTTATGTTGGGACCCTAACCGGCTTAAAGCATCAGCCGCCTCATTTTTTCTGCGATCAATGTGTTCCACTTGATAACCCTTGAAGTGCCCAGGAAATAGCAGCAACCTCACGATGATAAGCCGCCATAAGTGGATCCTTGGAATCCCATGTGCCTGAAACTTGCTGAGCCACCAAGTCTGAGTCGCCAAAACATCTCACCTGGCTTAAGTTCATCTCCTTAGCCATCCGAAGACCATGGAGCAAGGCTTTATACTCAGCTGCATTGTTAGTACAGGGAAACATCAACCTTAGAACATGACAAAATTTGTCACCTCGAGGGGAAGCTAAGACAACTCCAGCCCCCGAGCCCTCCAATTGCCTGGACCCATCAAAGTGAATAATCCATTATGTGTTATCTGGCTTCTCTTCAGGCATCTGCAACTTTGTCCAGTCATTGATGAAATCCACAAGTGCTTGAGACTTGATGGCAGTGCGAGGCATATATTTCAAACCATGAGGTCCAAGCTCAATGGCCCACTTGGCTACCCGCCCTGTGGCTTCTCTGTTTTGAATAATATCCCCTAAGGGAGCAGAACTGACCACAGTGATGGGATGACCCAAAAAATATTGCTTAAGCTTCCGACTGGCCATGAACACCCCATAAACGAGCTTTTGCCAATGTGGATATCTCTTCTCGGACTCAGTAAGCACCTCACTGATATAGTAAACCAGTCGTAGAACCGGATATTCCTTGCCTGCTTCCTTCTGTTCCACCACAATAGCTATACTGACAGCCCGGGCGTTAACAGCCACATATAACAACAACAACTCCTTATCAATAGGAGCAGCAAATACTCGCGGCTCAGCTAGCTATTTCTTCAAAGCTTCAAACATGCCATTAGAAGCATCACTCCAGACAAAGTCATCTATTTTCTTCATCATCTGGTACAGTGGTATGGCCTTCTCACCCCCCGGCTTATGAACCGGCTTAAGGCAACAATACTACCCGCCAGATGCTGAACATCATTGATACACGCCGGTTTTGCCAGGGAGGTAATGGCCTTGATCTTCTCCGGGTTAGCCTCGATGCCTCTATTATAAACCATAAAACCCAAAAGCTTGCCTGCTGGCACACCAAAAAAGTACTTGGCCGGGTTAAGCATCATCTTGTAGACCCGGAGATTGTTGAAGGTTTCCTTCAAATCCTCTATCAAAGTTTCCATCTCTCTGGATTTCACCACAATATGATCCACATAAGCATGAACATTGCGCCCAATCTGACTGTGAAGTCAATTCTGCACACATCGCTGGTAAGTCGCGTAGGCACTCTTGAGCCCAAAAGGCATAGACACATAGCGGAAGGCTCCAAAGTGAGTGATAAATTTTGTCTTCTCCTGGTCCTTAACTGCCATCTTGATCTGATGAGAACTAGAGTAAGCATCCAAAAAACTCAAACGCTCACAACTCGTCGTAGCATCAATGATTTGATCAATATGAGGGAGAGAAAAAGGATCAGCCGGACAAGCCTTGTTTAAGTCCGTGTAGTTCACATACATACGCCAAGTGCCATTCTTCTTAAGCACCAAAACCGGATTAGCCAACCACCCAGGATGAAAGACTTCAACAATGAACCCAGCCGCCAAGAGCCGGGCCACTTCTTCACCAATGGCCTTACGTCTCTCCTCATTGAAGAGACGAAGGAATTGCTTGACCGGCTTAAACTTTGGATCAATATTAAGAGTGTGCTCAGCGAGTTCCCTCGGTACACCCGGCATGTCAGAAAGTTTCCATGCAAAGATGTCCCAGTTCTCACGGATAAACTCGATGAGCGCGCTTTCCTATTTTGGATCCGGGTTAGCACTGATACTAAACTGGTTGGATGAATCGCCACGAACAAAGTCAAGTAGCTTAGTGTCATCACCGACTTAAACTTCAGCACCGGATCATGCTCTGTATTAGGCTTTTTCAGAGATGTCATATCAGCCGGATCAACATTGTCCTTGTAAAACTTCAACTCCTCTGTTGCACAGACAGACTTAGCATAAGCAGCATCACCTTCTTCAAACTCCAAAGCTATCTTCCGACTCCAATGCACTGTAATGGTCCCTTTCTAACCCGACATCTTGAGCTGCAGATAAACATAACAAGGCCGTGCTATGAACTTAGCATAAGCCGGCCGTCCGAACAGAGCGTGGTACGGGCTTTTGATCTTGACCACTTCAAAGGTTAATTTCTCGGCCCTGGAATCATGTTCATCCCCAAAGGCTACTTCCAGCTCATTCTTGCCTACAGGGTATGCCGATTTACCGGGCACCACTCGGTGGAAAACAGTATTGGACAGCTTAAGATTTTTGTCAATCAACCCCATGCGACGGAAAGTATCATAATAAAGGATATTAATGCTGCTACCCCCATCCATGAGTACCTTAGTGAATTTGTATCCACCAACTTGAGGCGCCACCGCCAAAGTTAAGTGGCCGGGATTATCAACCCGGGGCGGGTGATCCTCTCGACTCCACATAATGGGTTGCTAAGACCATCGCAAGTAATGGAAAACTGCCGGCTCAATGGCATTCACAGCCCTCTTGTGGAGCTTTAGGTCCCGCTTGCATAAACTTGTGGTGAAGACGTGGTACTGCCCGCTATTCAACTGCTTCAGATGACTTTGATATCTAGACTGCTGCTGTTGACCCCCTTGACGGGATTGTTGATTGTAACCACCCTGATTACTTTGATTATAACCACCCTGATTACCTTGATGGTGTTGGTGACCCTAGAAGCCGGAATTAGCAACGCCACCTCCGTAACCCAGGCCATGAGAACCGCCGCCACCAGAACCTTTGCCGCCGCCCGGCCCATGATTGTTCTAAAAAAATCAGAATTTTTTAACTCTCTCATAATTTGACAATCTTTCCAAAGGTGAGTGGATGGCCTTTCCTTCATGCCATGTTTTGGGCAGGGTTGATTCAGTAAGTGCAAAAGATTGACACCTGATCCACCTGTCCGAGGAGGTGGCTCCCCCTTACGACGCTGACCATTATTCTGTGTAGTGGTATTGGCCACAAAATCTGAATTACTATCGGCCTTGCATTTACCGTTGCCCCCTGACTCGTCGGGTTATGCTGCGGACCCTTGGTGTTGCCACTCTTCTTTCCCTTTCCCGGCTTTTCATCATCAGACTCGGGGTCCTTGGTACTATCAGAGTCGGCATATTTAACTAGAGTCGTCATCAGCTGCCACATATCATTGCAATCACGCTTGAGCCGCCCTACATCAGCCGCGTTGTCAAACGCTTCCGCTTTCGTTCTACGAGGGTACGTAGACACACTCCCCCCCCCTTGCTATGCATCTCCTAGATAGATCTTGCGTGAGCGTAGGAACTTTTTTGAAATTGAATGCTACGTTCCCAACAGTTATTACCACTAATGATGAAAAGATTGTTGCCTAGTTGACTCGGTGATTAACCGGAGGTAAAGAGAACATACTATCAACATTATGTCACCTTGGTCAATGCAATACTCTATTTTATTACTTAATACTTTGAGCTGCATGATGGATTTCAGTGTTGAAGTGGGTTATTAGCTATAGATACATGTTCGATAGCGGTCTATGGAAATAAGGGCGGAGTGTCTATATGTGTGTTTGATTATTGTGTTCACTATGCCTATGTAGTTTGGAGAGATGCAAATAGTGAAACTTTGGATCCGATCCTTATTCCTCATAAATGCGACCCCATTTTACACTTTTATTGTGCTTTAATGTTCTGAATATTTGTTCTTTTGCATAGAAAAACAATGCCAAACACAGTAATTAATCTTTGCAACTAGCAAAGCTAGTGAGATTGGCAACTTCACTAGACTAAGTTGGGGACCAGGAAGGTTTTTCGTTGAGTGAAGAGATAATCATTGGCTCGTAGGAAAACTCCACGGATTTGATATTTACTTTTCATATCGAGGAAGGATTCTTAAGGTATTAGAAACCCTTGATCTTCAGGGCCCAATATATATTATCATTCTGTCACTACGTTATTAGCCAGGGATATCAGAAAGCAATCACTTGTGTTCATCGGTTCAGTACAAAATCTTACATGTAACTGCTTTGGTGAACGTAAGAGAAAAATGCTTGTATTTGTATTACTAGCGCTAAGGTAAATGATTTTATAATGCTCGAGAAGAAGTTATTTTATGAAGAGCATGTCATCATCCCCAAGGCAATATTTTGTTTTACTACTAAATACTCCCTTCGTCCCATAGTCATGGTTTTAGTTCAATTTGAACTAAAACCACGACGAGAATTACGGAACGGAGGGAGCACTTGAATGATGAAACGTATCTCAGTCAGAGAGTGGAGTATCAGCCATAGAGATATAGGGAGGATTTCGGTCTATGAGTTTATGAACGTATATGTGTTTATCAGGTGTTTTGATCTCGTTAGACGCCTGAGACCTGTAACCTTCCCTTTTCGGTTGATTTTCTGAAATTATAGCACCATTAAGCAAGAAATTTTGGAAATCACGGTGAACATTAACTGATGAAAATTTTGATTTTCTTATTAAAGAAACAACTATCCTACTGATATCTCCTACTTATGTACATTGTTAGCGCATCCCAATTTTTCACTACTAATTATTTGAAGTCTGCACCCGACGTCGAAGCGCGCTTGATCCTCACTGGGAGCCCGCCGCTGATGGACGCCGTGAGCCCCGCCACAAATCTTGGCGCCCAGCCACTACGGCCATTCTCTCCGACAACCTCCACGTCGAAAGCTCTCACCACGGCCACACTGACCGCCTTCATCTCAGTGACGGCGAGCTCCTTGCCGAGGCACACGCGGAGGCCGGCCTGGAACACTGGGTACTTGTACAGGCTGGGCGGCGCGAACGAATCGCCGGGTCCAGTGAGCCACCGGTCGGGGCGGAACGCCTCGTGATCGGCGCCCCAGATGCTCGGCATGCGGCCCATGGCGTACGGGTGGTACATCACGCGCGAGTCGCCTTCCACGTAGGTTCCATCCGGGAGCACATCCGCGGCGGCGCTGAACTTGGAGTCGAACTGCACGGGCGGGAACAGGCGCATGTTCTCGTACAGCACCGCGTGCGTGTACTGCAGGCTCTTGAGATGCTCGTACGTGGACGGCTTGTCGCCGCCGGCTTCCGCGCGAATGGCGGCCGCGACTTCAGGGTTCTTGGACAGGTGGATGAAGAGCGTGGTCAGCGCGGAGGCCACCGTGTCCCGCCCGGCGAGGAGAAAGCTGACCACGATGTCGCGGAGGTACTTGTCGTCCATGGCTTGCACGTCTCCGTCCGAGGCCATGAACCGGGAGAGGAGGTCATGGCTATTTTCAAAACCCAGCTTCCGCCGCTGTAGAATCATCGCCGACGCGAGGTCGTCGACGAGCTTGATGGCCTTCTTGAGCTCCCTCTCGGACCCAATGTTGAGCATCCGCTTCATCTTCCACACCAACGGCGAAGCCGCGGCGCCCCGCATGGCGGAGAGGCGCGAGGCGGTGTCGAACGCGTTCGCCAGGTCCGACATGGGCATGTCGAGGTCGAGGCAGCCTGGGTCCAAGCCGAAGGAGATCTTGCAGATGGTGTCGAAGGCGAACCGGCGGAACACGTCCTGGAGGTCGACCACCTTGCCCTTGTCGGCTGCGTCGGCGAGGACGGGCAGGAGGCGGGTCTCCACCTCATGGGCGACGATCTTGTAGGCGTAGGAGCGCACGGTGACGCTGCCGAGCTCGAGGCTGGCCATCTTGCGCTGGTGGCACCACGCGTCGCCGTCGACGTTGAAGATGCCGCCGCCGAGGAGGTCGCCGAGGAGCGCGGAGAAGCGCTTGCCCTTGGGGAAGTTCTCGAAGTTGGTCTTGAGCATGTACTCGACGTTGGCCGGGTTGGCGGTGACGGTGCAGCCGAGGACGTGGATGTGGACGGTGCCCGTGGGCGACTCGCGCAGCAGGTGCGCGTACCAGTCGCCGAGGTTGGTGAAGTCCTTGGCCCAGGAGCCCGTGAGGTACGTCCGGCAGACATGGCAGCTGCACCACGGCCACCGGCGCACGAGCAGGAGCACCGCGGCGAGCGCCACCACGAGGACGGACAGGACGAAGAAGGCCAGCCCGGCGCACCGCGCGCCCCAGGACAACTCCACGGCGTCCATCGCTCTCCGGTTAGCTGCTCTCACGAGTCGCACGAATGGCAAAGGAGAAAGCAAATGTCGAGCGGGTTCCGGGGAGACGACGAGGAAAAATGTGAGCTTTGGTGTGGGGAGAGTCGAGGAGGCCCCTGTCTATATATAATGTGGGTGGACGAGGGAAGATGCACATGGAACACGTGCGCTGGTGCTTTAAACAACCCAACGTTGGCGCTAGCTGCTGCCTGGTACTTTTGCGTGTACCCAGCTCATGCCCGCTCAATGCTCGTTGATGTAGCACGGTGGATGACAGCTGGGTCCACGACGGGCTCTGCATGACAGTTGGGTCCCTCAGCACATGATTAAGACAATCTTTTTCTGCTCCTCCCCGTGCTCATATCATTTTTCGGCTACGCAACGTTTTGATCGTGCTCGTTCGCTACTAAACCAGAAAGGGCTGTTCCCTCTTTCGGATTCTAGATGCTGATCACGAGATAGTTTTCTGGGACTTCGGTTTCTACACAGCTTTACATCCTAAGAATGTGGGTGTTAAAACTTCCTGAATTGTGTCCAATATCTTTCTAGGAGTCGACTCCGGCTTCATTTTCATACGCATATAGTGGTCGACGCAATTTTCTCATGAAGTGTTGTTTCGTGTTATGCAATTCTTCATTGTGAACTTATATTTCTTGTTGCTAGATAGCATTGTATTCTCTCTGTTTCATTTTGCTCTGTAGATAGTCTGTATTGATATATTTAAAAAGTCTTATATTTAGGAACGGACGGAGTAATTGTTGTGTGTTGTGCGATGGCTATTAGGTTATTTGGTAACCAAACGGCCTGTTTGGTAAGAGCAAGTACAATAAGAGCAAGGTTAATAGCACAGCCGGCTGCTGGCTATAACCCATCGCCACATTACCTAAAGCCTTCACCCATACAATAGGCTGGCTCTTAGGTTGGCTGCAAGTCTGGCTGCAATAAATACTTAAACACTTAACAATTGCATGTCTATATGACTTGTTGTGATCCAATACAAGTTGCATCTTTGTCGTCATCTCAATATGTATACATATATATATATTGCCAATTGGATGAAGAATCACCAGACCACTGCTCGCAGGCGCTGCTCACAAAGGGCCTTGCAGTTCAGCAAGCTAAGGTGCAGAGGCTATGGGGATCCGGGCGCCTTGTCCGTGTGTAGAAGGGAAGGTCGACCGGCGGACAGGATGGGGCGGCGGTGGGACGAGATGGGCCGCCGACGGGGAGATGAGATGAGGCGCCGGTGCACGCGTCCTCTTGGACTGCTACGGAGGAAGAAGCGTGGGAGCTGAGAGGAGGGGAGACGCACGGGATCGGAAGCACCGCCGCTAGCGCTCGCCTCGGGCTGTAAGCGGGCGTAAATTTCTCGTGTCTTGCGCTGTAGCCCGGCGACTGAAGAAGCGCCCGCTTCCTTCTCTCTCTCGTATTTACTCTCCTCCAGCTCAGATTTTTGCTGATGTGGGATGCCTTGCAGCCTGCTGAGTAGGACTATTGTACCTGCTCTAAGGTGATATAAGCGGGTTGTGAGACTTTAAATAATATATTTTTGCTTAGTTGGATGAGAGAGAAGAGGTGAGAGAAAAGAAGCGGGCTACAAATTTACAGCCGGTTATAGCACGAGCTCCAACACCTTTTCTGAGAGAAACATGTGGGTCATATATTAATGATGTAGTATACTAATATGACTAACAATTGTATGAGCAGGCTATAAGATTGACTATAAGTGACATTGCAAATTCATATAGCCAGCTTTTGGCTATACTACTAACCATGCTCTACAATCAAAAAAATCCAATCAATGGTATATATTTGGTAAGCATTTATTGACTTACTAAAGGGATATGGTTTTATTTGGTAAACAGATAAGTGTCAGTTATCAGGTCGGCCGGGTTTTAGGTAATTAGTGAGAAAGAATAGTGGTGGGAGGGGAGAATCAAAACAGACAGAGGGAAGTGACAGGACATCGAGTAATAACAGATCCAGTCACTCCCGGACGCTCTCAGAGCTTAGTGATCATGGGCCGTCGAATTCGTTTGCTTGATGCGTTTTTGGGCGTTGGATCAAGCCGCTGGAAGAGCTGGGCCATCGGATAAAAAAAGAGCTGTAGCAATGAATAGTTACCCCCGCTGTAAAGATCTCGTGCCACCGCACGTAAATCGCCTACCCCGCCGGGGCCATTTTCGTCATTTCACTCGTCGGGGGTATAAAATGGCCGGCTCCCGTGGAGGCAACCCTAGCCGGCCCTCCCCCTCCCGTGCGCCTCCTCTCCCCTCCCCTCCTGCGCGCCTCCTGTCCTCCTTCCCCGCCGCTGCCCGGCCTCCTCCTTTCACCCCTCTGGCCGGCTCCTCTCCCGCTCGCGCCGCCTCCTCCTCCCCACCAGCGCCTCCCTCTCCTCCTTTTCCGCCTTCGCCCGGCCTCCTCCTTCCGCCCCACCGATCTGGCGCCGCCCAACCTCGTCGGCCTCTCTCCCCCTCCAAACCCTACCCTGCGCCGCTGTCCAGGTCCAGCCCCACGCCGCCATCGTCTTCTTCGCCCAGCCGGCCGCCGCCGCACCGCACGCTCATGCGCAGAGGCGAGAAGGGGAACCGCCGCCCGCTCCCGGAGCGCGAGGAGGACGAGGGGAGGCAGCGCCCAGATCCAAGGCGGCATCAACGCGCCGTCGTCGACCTGAGCCGCCACCGTCCTCGAGGTCGGCCATGGAGGGGGGGGGGTCTGTAACGCCCCGGTTTCGATGCGCCAGTTGTCTGCCAGTTTTCCGCTGTCATTGCCATGTCATTTGCTTGCGTGTTGCATTTTATCATGTCATCATGTGCATTTCATTTTGCATACATGTTCGTCATGTCGTAACTCTGCATCCGTAGCTCCATTTTGTGCGTGTAATATGTCAAATTGTTCGTCTCAACGAGTACATCATTTCATGGCATTGCATCATATTCATTTGAGGTAATCTTGATGCCTGAATCATCGTTGTAAGAGTGCTTCATAATGTTATCTGCTGTCTGTTATCAGAACGAGCTCATTTGTCATTTTTGACATGATTGATGTGTGCATCCTATGAGGTTGATGTCTACATATGTTTTGATCTATGCTATGTCTTCTTTACAGAGGTGCTTACCATGTATTTTTGTGATCAATGTGGTGACTAGCACAAGCATGCAAATTAGGCATCGTGATGTTGCTGATTTTAGTCCCTGTTCTGCTGTTATTTTGATGCCATGTAAATTTGATGCTACAGAAAGATCCATGCTTATTTTGAGATACTTCAGTAAGGGTGTTTTGAACATGTGGTTATTGTCTATCCATTAATGCCCTTTGTTGCAATTATGGAGTAGTCTAGCATGTCATTTGAGTGCTCTACTTTTGCTTCAAAATGTTTCTGCGCAGATTGTTTAGGTGTTATTCAATTTGGCCAAGCTTGTTGTAGTTGATCCTTGCATGCTATGGACTTGTTCTTGACTTGGTTTATTTCACAAACATGTCTTCTTAATGATGCTATGCTTATCTTGTCATGCAATGACTTGTGGGGAGTGATTCAAGCTTGTTAAGTAGGGTACATGATGTTGCTGTTTTGCTAGGCTGAATCTGTTATTTCGTGATGCTATATAAACATGTTGCTACTAATCATTCTATGCATAATCTGGAGATGTTCTATAAATATGTTTTGATCTACATGTCATTCTCTATCCATCCATGCCCCTGGTAGCATTTATAGCTTGCTGTAGCTTGTTCATATCTTGCTCCAAAGTTGCTTCATAATGTTGCTGCCAGCCTGTTAACATTAAGTTCAGTTGTTTCCATGTGTTTTCCTAGTGTTCCATGCACCCTATGACCTTGCTATTGCCATGCTTAGCTTCACAAACATGTCTTCTTACTGTTGGGTGCCTTGCCATGCCATGTATTGCTCTGTAGTGAGTTGCACAAGCTCATATACATGCCTTCATAATTATGTTCCTGCCATGTATGAATCTGTTTAATAACTTGCCATGTTTACGTGGGTGCCATCATATTTTCTGATCCTTTTTGGCTTATGGTCACTAAATGACTTTTGATCTATGCAATTCGTAGATTCATGCCATGCCTTTGTTTGCCATGATAAGTTCCTGTAACATGTTGTTTGATAGCTCTAAACATTGCATCGTGATGTTATTTTCTGCAAAGTCTGAAGTTGTTATAACTTGCAATCTTACCATGTGTGTTTGAGTATGTTCTAGTGATTTCTAGAGATAGTTCAGTGTTCATGTTTTGTTTTGCTTTACCTGTACTTAATGCCCATGCCTTTTGTTATTATGATGAGGTGCTGTAGTATATTGTTTTGATGCTTGCTATATGCCTAGTTGCTGTTTTGGACAGCTTGTCCTTTAAACTTGTATGGTGTGTGTGTGTTGAACCGTTGCTCCGTTTTGAGTGTGCTCTATATGAAACTTGCGTGATTTTGCATATAGTTTCATACTATCATGTTGCATCCATGTTTTGAGGTGTTTTCCTGATGTTTGGGTGCATTTTGCATCAATGCCATGTTTAACTTGTTTTGCTCATATCTTCTAGGCCGTAGCTCCAAACTAAATGAACTTTATATGTAACTTGACTAGAATCTCGTGTAGATCATCTTTGTGCATCTTAACTTGCTGTTTAACAACTTGAACATAAGGTTTATTCAGATCTGGACCAATTTTCGAAATATGCATATGAGGACTTACCGGAATTGTTATATGTTGCTTCCGGCCTCATTTAAACTTGCCTTGATGTGTTGCTCTTGTTTGCATCCTCTCTTGCCATGAGTAGCTTCATATAGCTTTGTCATGCATCATGCTTGTTTGTGCATCATGTCATGTTCATGAGTGGTGTGTTCACCATGTTGTGTGCTTCTTCTCGATAGTTCATGTTTCGTTGCGATCGTGAGGATTCATTCGTCTACGCTTGGTTCGTCTTCGTGGCTTCATCTTCTTCATGGACTCGTTCTTATTCCTTGCGGGATTTTAGGCAAGATG